CCCTGCCCCTATGAAGCATAGCACAGGAAGAAGGCCATCCATAGCTAGGTGTGGAGGGGACACATCTATAATTCCAACACTCTGGGAGGCTGAGGCAGGAGGATTTCAAGTTTGAGCCCAGCCTGGGCAACTTAGCAACTTACTGAGACCCTGTCTCAAAATAAAAAATCAAAAGGGCTGGAGACAGACTAGACTCAAATTCTCCATCTTCCTTCCTCAGCCTCCCAAGTAGCTGAGATTATAGGAAGGCACCACCAGGCCCAGCTGCTAAAATACTTATTTCCTGCTGCAGGGTTTTCCAGAAACCAGAACTCTGCTGCAACCCCAGCCCCAGGAGGGTCCTGCAGAATCTCCCAGTCTCCCTGCCGCCCTCCAAACCAGCCCCACCCCAAGGAGGGGTCGGGCCAGGCCTTTGGCCAGGTCTGCTTCTCCTTCCTTGGCTACTGGAAGCAGCCTTTGAATGCTGGCTGCCTGGACCCGATCCTCCAGCTCCCTGGCTGCCCTGGCCGTAGAGGCCCTCAGCCCTGCCCACGCTCAGCCCAGAGGACATTTCATGTTGCTTGACTGATTATTTGATCCCAGTCTGACTCACCATTGCTGTGGCTTGGATGTGGCCTGAGCATCCCCTGGGCCTCAAGTGTTGAAATCAAAGCTCATTAGGAGGCTCTGGGAGGCTGGACATTTCATCCACTATGGGGTGAGAGGTGGGGCCTCTGGGTGGGGTTAGGATTAGAGAAGGGCATCAGGGTGGCGCCCCTGTGACTGAGTCCTGGCTTTATAAGAGAGAAGCTGGGTGCACACCCGTCATCCCAGCACTCTGGGAGGCTAAGGCAGGAGGGTGGCAAGTTGGAGCCCAGCCTGGGCAACTGAGTGAGTTAATGAGACCCTGTCTCAAAATAAAAAATAATAAAAGGGCTGGGGATGTAGCTCAGTGTGAAGACCCGGAGTTCAGTCTCCAGTACTGCAAAAAAAAAGAAAGAAAAGAAGAAGAGAGAACCCACAGCACCTCAGGACTCTGCAGCAAGAAGGCCCGTGCTCATGTGGGCCTGAAACGCCGCCAGCCATGAGCTACAGGACTCTCCCCTCACCAGCTCCCTGGTTTCTCATAGCAACACAACCCACTTCTGTGCCCCAAGCCCTAAACTCCACGGTAGGGCAGAAGAAGGGGCCCTGAGGCCTGCTAGGGGCTGGCAGCACATGGGAGGCCCCGATAGCCTTTGCTCCCGCCGGTTACTGGGTGGGCAGATGAAGCCAGGGCTCATTGGGCTGCTGCTGGAAACTTGAAGTCTGTTTTTCTATTTCTCTCTATCACTATTATTTGTGTACGTGTGTATGTGTTACTGGAGATTGAACCTCAGGTCTTTGCCCTGAACAACGTCCCCAGCCCCTTTTTAATTAGTTATTTTTTGAGACAGGGTCTAAGTTGCTCAGTTGCCCAGGCTGAGCTAGAACTTGGGACCCTCCTGTCTCAGCCTCCCAGGATGCTGGGGTTACAGCCATGCGCCTTGGTATGGCCTTGTAGCTGTCTCTGGAGCTCTCCCCAGCAGGACAGGGTGTGGGGATTGCTCCAGTCCTGCCCCTGCCTGGGCCTGTCTCTCTCCTTTGTACTCTCTGGGTGTGATCCTTGCCCTCCGACTCCGTGTCTGTCTGTCTGTCTGCCTGGCCAGCTCTCTATCCCGCTGTCTCTCTCTGTTCTCTGGATTTGTCACCCTGTCCCTGGCCTCTGTCCCTCCAGGGTGACCCTGAGTCTCGTGCCTGTCTCTCCACACCGGTTAGTTCTGGGTCCCTGGGAGCTGCGTGCTCCTCCCTCCCCTCTGCCCCATCCCCTGTCCCCGCCTGTGCCCGCGGCCTCCTCCCAGTCTGCTCCGGAATCTCCCAGGAACCCAGAGCGCGGCCTGTAATTGAGCTGAGCCGTCTCCATGGCAGCCGCGTGGCGGAGGGAAGATCGATTTGGAGCGCGGCCTCAGTCATAATTGCACCTTAATAGTTTGCGCGGGCTCCATGTGAGGCGGCCAGGACAGCCGGGGACGCTGGCGGGAAAAGCCCCCCGGAGTCACCCACCCCTGGCCCTCAGGAGGGACAGGAGGGGCCCCGAGGCCTTGGCCGGGAACAGGCCCGGGAGGGGCCGCGGGAGGAGGCCGGTCCCCACGTGCGCGTGCGCCTCCCGCCCTCGCGCTGCTCCTGTTTATAATTTATGCTGTGATCGGAATTATCAGCAATAATGATAACGTGATTATAATTGTCGAGCTGCCTGGCTCAATTGCGGCGCTGTTGGTAAATATTGTGATAAAGACAAGTGTAGGCCGAGGCCACCCAGAGCTTGGGGGGCGGGGAGGGACAGGCGGAAGGGTGCTGAGCGGTCTGTACCCCTCCCACCCAGGGCGCCGACGCTGCTCCGGAGAAGTTGGGTATCTTTTGTTCTTAAGGTACTGGGGATTGAATTCAGGGCCTCCACACTGAGTTACATCCCCAGCCCTTTTTATTTTTTATTTTGAGGCATGTCTCCCTGAGTCTCTAAGTTGCCCTGTCTCACCCCTGGACCTGCGTGTGTTTTAACATCCATCAATCCTGTGTCTACTCGAAGCTATCCTGCCTCAGCCTCAGCAGTGGGGACCTGTCCCCTCATGACATAAGTCACTGCAAGTTGGGTCCAACCGTGGACTCAGAGGCCTCAGCAGGGGAGGCTGAGGCAGGACAGTGCCACCATCCCAGCTAAGGACGCCCCACTGGAAGCCAGGCCTCACACCTGGAATCCCAGCACTCTGGGAGGCTGAGGAAGGAAGAGCCCAAGCTTGAGTCGAGCTTGGGCAACTTAGTGAGATCCAGACTCAAAATGGACTGGGGATGTAGCTCAGAGCAAAGCCCCTGGATTCAACCCCCAGTACCACAAAAACAAACACTTTAAATTATTAACATTTTATTCTTTGGGATTATCTTTGTGTTATTCAATACCAGTTCTACTTTTTTTGCGGGGGGGGGGGGTAGCAGGGATCATACTCAGGACTTTGCACTTTCAAGGCAGGCAGACACCACTGAGCTAAATCTGCAGCCCCAAGTTCTGCGTTTTATATTCATCTATTTTTACAGCCCTGAGGATTGAACTCGAAGGATACTGAGCTACACCCCCAGCTCTCTTTATTTTGTTTTTTGTGGGGGTTTTTTGGTACCAGGGACCTAACTCAGGTCCTTGCGTTTGCGCAGCAGGCGGTGAAACCACTGAGCTAAATCCCTGGCCCCTCTATTTTGTTTTGAGGCAGGGTCTCGTTAAATTACTAAATTGCCCTGGCTAAGCTCAAATTTGGGATCCTCCTGCCTCAGCCTCCCGGAGTTCTGCTTGATTCACTTCTAGATAAACACACATTCACCCAGCACTCTTCAGTGGTTCATGATAGGGAGGGAGGGACTGAGAGGAAAAAGACCAAGGCCCCTTTGCCTCCTTGCCTCGGGGGTCATTTTCAGCATGAGCTGTTGGGCGATCTGGCAAGCTGTGCGTGGGAAGGGGCCCGGCCTCTGTGTTTGAGTCCCTCTTTGAGTCCCTCGCTTGTTCTCTGCCTGACACCAGTTTTGTCTGCACAGAAAGCTGCGCCTCTCAAACTGTGACATGCGGCCCTGCGCGGTTGGTGCTCTGTGCCAGGACACCAAGGAGACCAACTCCGTGGACTCTCGGGTCCCGGATGTAAACAGCGCCTGCGCACTCCTGCCTCAGCCTGAACACCTGGGGGGACTTAGGGAACCCAAGAAGGCAGCAAAAGTCCAGGGGACCCAGTGCCACACCGTGTTTAAGGACTGATGACAAGGACGAAGCTGGTGTGCTCCGTTCAGATGCAATAAGTTTCCAAATATGTCTCCGGTCACGGTTGACTGAATCCGTGCACAGGGAAGCTGTGGAGACAGAGGGGCGTGACAGGGCAGGCTTTGAGTCTCCCGACCTCCTGCCCATCTACCTAGCAGACCTCTGTGCCATAGGGCCAGGCCAGCGCTGCCTGGGGACGCCATAGGATGAGCCTGTCACCCCGGCACCCTAGGAGGCTGAGGCAGGAGGATTGCTAATCTTAGGCCAGCCTGGGCAATTTACTGAAATTTAGTGAGACAGCCCGGGGGTGGAGTTCAGTAATTGAGCCCTTGCCTAGCACGCAGGAAGCCTGGGTTCTGTGCCTAGCACTCAACAAAAAAGGATCGCAAGACACTGTGAATGTATGGCAAGCGAGCGGTCCTCGAGCACGGAGCCCTAAGGGGCCCAAAGAGGGAACCCTGCCAGGAGGGCACATAGGGACGTGGCCACCGCAAAGCCAGCCGGGCCCAGTGAGCTTGTCCGGCTCCTCCTCCCACCGAGCCCCAGCCCCCACCTGCTGTGCCACTTCCACGGCCCCGCACCCGCGTGGCGCCCCCAGGCCACGCCTTTGCTCGCCCCACTCGGGACAGCTTGGGGACGGGCCGTGCTCATGGTGTGGGTCCCCACACGGCTGGCTCCCGCGCTGCTGGGCTCCGGGTTGTGCTGTATTTAGGTCAGGCCTTGCTAATTCCGCCGGGAGCCGCCTGGCTGCCTGTGAGGGCGGAGAGTCGGGCTGTGCAGCCTCCAGGGCCCCGAGGGGCAGCGGAGCAGGGAGGACGGGGCCTCGGTCCCCAAACCCTGCTGCCCCTCGCCCCTCAGCCTGGTGAGGGCATCAGGGTCGCGGTCGATATTCCAGCAATGTAGGTATCGTCACCAGGCAGCGTCCAAGGGGGTCCCCGAAACCCGAGGGGGACCTCAACCCACCCCACCATGGGGCATGTTGTGGTTCGCTAACTTCCATCACAGGAAAAAAAAATCCATCAAGACGCTAGAGTGAGAGACAGCCAGGTGCACAGCCTGTAATCCCAGCGCTCTGGAGGCTGAGGCAGGAGGATCACTTCGAGTTCCAGGCCAGTGAGGGCTTCACGGTGGGTGAGTTCAAGGCCAGCCTGAACCACATAGTGAGACCATCTCAAAAAGTAAAAAATATAAACAACAAAAAGGCACGTGAGAGGCATAAAGAGTTGTATTAGGCAGAATTTAAAGTACACATTCAGAGAGAAGAGAGGGGGCCCTGGAGAAGGGGGGGGGGAGACCTTGTGACCTAAAACTGGGTTGCTGGGGTGGAGTCTGTGGGGTTCAATTTACAGACAACATTCATCCCTTCCTACAAAGCCCGGGCCCAATTTACAGGCTTTTTGTGTCTGGGTCTGTAAAAATTTAGGGTTTGCTTTTGGGTTTTTGTTTTGTTCCTGGAAACTGAACCCAGGGCCTTTGCACTGAGCTACATCTCCAGCGCTTTTTTTTTTCAAATTTGAAACAAGGTCTCATTAAGTCGCTGAATTGCCCAGGCTGGGCTTCAATTTGGGATCCTCCTGCCTCAGCCTCCTGAGTGCTGGGGTTCCAGACGGGCTTGATGCTGCTTCCTTGTGATCTTCGAATTCTGGGAGGCTGAGAAAGGAGGGTCACAAGTTCGAGCCCAGTCTAGGGCAGTTCAGTGACTTAGTGAAACCATGTCTCAAAACCGAAAAAAGGACTGGGGATGTAGCTCAGTGCCAAGATCCTGGGTTCAAAGCCAGTACTTCAAAATAAAAGAAAGGGGCGGGAATCTTGAGATGACAAGGCAGGAGGCGGCAGAATGTGGTTGCCTGGCCAGGACAGGTACCTAGTGACATCACTGGTCACTGCCAACGCCATCCCCCCCAGGCGGTATTCATTGATATTCTGCCCGCAGGGATCCTCACCGGCCAAGTAAACCGAGCCACCCCTAGCACCAGATCTGGTAATTGATAGCCCTGACAGTTTTATTGGACTCCAGCAGGACCCGCACACGCCTCGCTTTGCAAAGGGTAACCAGCCTCCCTCCGCGTCCCTCCCCTCCCCCACCCGTCCTTGAGGACAGGCCGGGCTGGGCGGGGCCGAGTCCCCACCCCGGCTCCGCTCCGGCTCCTGCTCCGAGGTCTACAGGGCGTAGGCAGGAGGGCCTGCTCCTTCGCCCGCCCCCGAACACGCAGAACCAGCTTGGCGCTCTGGGAGGCTGGGGCTAGAGGACTGCCAGTTCGAGCCCAGCCTGGACAGTGGCAACTTGGACACTGTTTCAAAACAGAAACGGGGGGCGGGGGATTTAGTTTAGTGGTGCCGCCGTCTGCCTCGCAAGCGCAAGGTCCTGAGTTCGATCCCTGGTACCAAAAAAAAAAAAAAAAAGGTCAAAACAGAAAGGGCCGGGGATGCAGCTCAGTGCTCTGCGCAGGCCCTGCGAGATGGTGTGACTCCCCTGGAGAAGAAGAGCGGCCGTGCCAAGGCCAGTGTTGGGCGAGCCTGGGGCGGGCCCTGCAGGGCAGAGCGCAGAGGCTTTAGAGGCGGGCACTGGGGAGCCTCAGCAGGTTACATACAGAGCGCATGGTCAGGCCTGACTTTCACAACCTCGCTCGGAGTGCCGGGTGTGAGGAGCCCGCACTGTGGCGCTGGGGGAACAGGGCTGCAGCGGGGTCCCGGCCCTCGCCTCCCCCTCCCAGGGCACCAGGGGCCGAATCTTTTCAGGGTACAGCGCCTGGCAGCCTTCGCCCTACCCCCCAACTCCTTCCTCTGCTATTTTTACCGTAGCCACCTCGTTAGATGTAAATGAGCAGCCCGGGCCCGGCTGCTCTGCATAATTCCCCGTGAAGGTCTCCAGGGTGCGGGGCCCCTCCTGCTCCGATCCGCGTGAGCCCCGCACCCCGGGGAGGCCACCCCGTCCCCAGGAAGCAGCAGTCCCCGTCTGGGAGCGCAGTCAGGGCAGGGCTTGGTGCACTCCCTCAATGCTCTCGGGAGGGCCCTGTGCTTGTCTGGGGCTCAGTTTCCCCATTTTCGAATTTAGGTGGTCAAGAACTGTGACACCCAGATGGATGGATTCTTGGGATGCTGGGGACTGGACCCAGGGGCTTCGCTCCGGTCCACATCCCAGCCCTTTCCTATTTTTTATTTTGAGAGGGCCTCGCTACATCACCAAGTTCCCCAGAATGGGCTCGAACTCGAGACCCTCCAGCCTCGGCCTCCTGAGTTCAGGCTCACAGGCGTGGCTCCCGCACCTAGCTGAGCGCGGAGCTTTGAAGAAGGAGCTGGGCAGCCGCTGCTTGCCTTGCAGAGGCCCCGAGCCCCTCTCGTCTCTCTTCCCTTTCTTCTCAGAAGCCCCCTCTCCCTGACAGCAGGAAGCAGATTCCTTGCTCCGCGTCACGGTCTCGGCTCTGCGGAGGCCATCTCCGGCGTCCCCGTCCCGAAGAGCGCGCCCCCGCGCCAGGCAGCGGCGCCCCAAACTCACCCGCTTCATTCATCCTAGAGGTTCCTTCCTGGCTCAAGGCTGCCCTGCGACCCGAGAGTGGCCAATCTCGGTTCGTGTACCCGCCAGACCACAGTGATTGACGCAGGCCTGGACCAATCAGAGCCCACACCCCTGTACCCCCGCCTCCACCTGGCGGACAAGACTTCTGGGGCCACAGAGGATCCTGGGGGTTGGCGCAGAGGGGTGAGACCTGGGGGTCCCTGAACCTGCCTGGCTGTGTCCCCCCTGCTGAGGGCGGATCCACTTCCTTGGCGGCTTGCAGTTCTCCTTGCGGCGGATCTCACCAGGCGACACTGGTGCACGTCTGGAGCCCTGTGGTCACCGCGAGTGCCTGACATGAGTTTCCTATAGCAGACGTTTTTTATTTTTTAGACAGGGTCTCGCTATGCAGTTGAGGCTGCTCAAACTCACCGCTGTCTTCCTGCCTCAGCCTCCCCTGCTTCAGATTACCCATGGGGCATCTGCAGGCCCAGCCTCTCTCACCCTGTTATTTTTAGCTTCGGTTCCATCTGCGCATGGTCATTAGACTGACATTGAGCCAAAGAAATGTGAGTGAAAGTGTTTTGTGGGACTTCTGGGACAGTTCCCTTCCTTATCATCCTCATTGTGTCATCCAGAATAGAGATGCAATGGTTGGACCTCCAGCAGTTATTTTGGGCATTGGGGTGACCTCAGCATGAAAGCTACATCATGAGTATTGCAGGGCAGAAAGTTAGAACTTTAATTCTTTTATTTTCTTGTATATTCATTCATTAATATATTTTTTGTTTGTCTGCAGTACTAGGGATTAAACCCAGGGTCTTTGCACAGAGCTACATCCCTAGCCCTTTTTAAAAAAATTACATTTTTAGACAGTGTCTTGCTAAGCCACTGAGTTGCCCAGGCTGGCCTGCCTCAGGCTCCCAAGGTGCTGGAAGAAGCGTAATTCTTGACACAACTACACATGAGCCGTAAGAGTTTTTCTAGTTTTCTTTTTGGTTGGTTTGGTTTTTTCCTACCATACCTGTAGAGTACTCATACCCAAGAGAGAAAAAGACCCTCACAGTAGACAAAGTTTACATAAACAACTGCTGTTTGGGGTTTTTCTGCTCAGATGCATGTCCCTGTTCTACTTTTTCTGTTGAAAGTTTTACAACTTTAGTTTTTCTCACATAGTTACTTAATTCATCCGGAGCTGATTCTTGGTTATGTGGGAAGTGGGAACCTATTTTTATTCCTTTTCCATATGGACAGCTAATTGTCCTAACACTATTTATGGGACAGTAGAAAACAAAGGAGAAGGTGCTGTGGGAGGAACATCCCAAGCATTCCTCTGACCCTGGTGGGCAACACTGGAAGGTGAACTCAAGGATGCAGGACCTACACCCACCCACGCCGACAAACGGGAAGGTGGACCATGTTCATGGATGGAGACATCCCTCTTCCCAGGTGAACAGATCCACTGCCAGATGATTAATTCACTGTGGTATTTTTTCCAAGTTCTGTATGCAAGGATAAAGTGAAACAAAAACAGGAAAAAACAGGAAGGAAACAAAAAGGAAAGCAAGGAAAATAGGAGTAGGGAAGTGAGAAAGAAATCAGTGGTGATGGGCTAGGGATTTAGCTCAGTGGTTCTGGTGCCTGCCTCACAAGCACAAGTTCCTGAGTTCGATCCCCAGTACCAAAAAG